GCCTGTGTTTTCCGGTGTTTTCCGGATTATAGTATTGCCGACTTTGAACAAACATCATCCTATTACAGTAATTGTGCCCTTTGCTAATTAAAAAATTGTCGGATTTAATAATTTTTGAGTTGCCATGGAAAAAAATTCTCTGTTGAATGATTTTTTACTACATATTTCGATTATATTTTCGTATGTAATTATTATTCTAGAGCATATCTCAGAAACTGTTCAAGATACCTTTATAACACTTTTACATTCATCAACCTATTATTTTATTTTTTGATGACATTCCTTCTGTCCCGATTTCATATTTTATTATCTGTTCAGAGAAATCTTTTTAAAACTTTATACAAACATCAAACTATTAAAGTATTTTACTTTCTGATGTATAAGCTTAATGTTTAACATACAGCAGCTGATTGAGGTAGGCAAAGGTAGTTGTGCAAACCTTACAGGGAGTAGCGACTGTGCCTTGCCGAGCTACTATGATCTGAGTATGAATCTTCTGACTAGTCCCATTGATATTCCAAGAATTTGTTTTTCCTTACGCCTTCCAAACAAGTTCAAGGGCGCGGGATGGTAATAACTAGTCATCTTGTTGTTTTTTTTGTTCCGACAATTTATTATTGGTGTCTTCAAATGAATACCATATAACCTATAACGTCCTCGACAAATCTGTGAAGGGGCATATGTAAATATACTATCTAGTCTCTCTCTTCACCCCATCCCATTGAAATCTTTCAGGGACACAACTTTATTAACACAACGAATACATGTGCTTCTCTTTCTCTTCCTTCTTTCTCTATTCGGGTAGCGGCTGACTGCTGGATACATGTATCAACATTCATTGAGGGTGACGCAAACAAAACGAAACCCAAACCGTGCGTACAAAGGCGATATCAATAAACTTATTCGATTTATTATTATTTATTACCAATAAGAGAAGAGGAGATTTCTGATAAAAATATAATTCAAATTTCAAACCGACATCGCACTGTTTCACGCATAGTTTGGTGAGCACATGGTCGTCTATTTATACACAAGCCATCCACGTGAGTTCGTATTGAATAATTGTCATTACTACATATTCGTCTGATTTCGTGGAATCAAATAGTATATGGAAACCCATTTTGAACAGAAATTTCATGATTTTAATGGTATTTCAAACAATTTTAATTATTAATTAAATTGTAAATATAATATGTGCTTTATTTAGTTTGGATGTTCGCGTCATCTGCCAAAGATATGGTTGCCAGGCAACGAAACATACGCCCACAGCAGCCAAAGTGTTTTCGCATATTTAATCTTTTGTAGAAAATGGGGGAGGCGGGGAAGACATTTTTATACAGGTCAGAGTATAATTCCTGAATGGAGGTTGTTCATTCGGTTGTGAGTTAAACTAAAAAATATATTTCTTGGGATGCGATGTGATAGTTCATAAATTACACGGTCTGTATTTCTAGTCATTTTTAACTACCAGTATAGTGCACTAGTATCCTGTATATACAGTCAAAATGAGTAAAAAATATTGTCATCGTTTTGACATGGTTGAGGTCATTTCGGAACTAACACATGGTTCGATTTTATTTCAATAATTAGCTTGCGCGTAGGGGTCTTTATCATTGGGAAGAAACCGGAGGACCGGGAGAAAACCCACGAGGTTGGACAGGTAACCCTACTCCTTGTCACGTACAATCGGGGAATCGAAACCACACCAGTCGACAGACCTTATGATACAGTGCGCACGTGCTAACCATTCGGCCACCCAACCCCCCTTTTTTGTTCAAACGATGGAGTGTTTTATATCTTCTAAATCATGTTTTCATGAATGTGCCAGGAAATGAGTAATATATTGAAACAGGGATAAAAAAAAAAATACTTTCCGGCCATACATTACACGATAACCCGTATTTTAACTTTTACCGCCCCCCCCCCTCCACAGGCACACTAACTTAATATTTAGCTGCATCCAACTGTAATACCTTTTTCAAGCTATGTAAATTTAAATGTGCCAGAGTATAATTTACATTTCTGAAAAGGTAAATGAAATTTCTTTCCAGTGGTATTCTGTGTGATATCTGGAATGTCGTAGTATTGCAGGTATTTTGATAATTAAGACCCCCCGCCCCCTCTCCATCACTTAATTTTCTGGCACTTTTATATTTACATACCTTTAAAAAAGATCAAATTTTCACGGTACTGAATTTTATTAAGGGAGGGAAGGGGTATTTAAAGTTAAAAAAAACGATCTTAATAGGAAATTCTCGATATCTGTTCATATTCCGCTCAAAAGTATGTTTTTTTGCTTACTACAAATTGTAAATTTGTATTAACATACCTTGAAAAAAGAAAAAAATATTTGATTGGCACTAACCGGTATTAAATTGGGGGGTTTTAAGTCAAAATACGGGCCATAACACGAAATACAAGATATCGGGATGCATACCAAATGAAAATGAAATGAAATGGGTTTTAACGTCCTACTGTTTTGCTCCAAACTGGGCTAATGAAAACAGGCATGTGCCAAACAGTGTGCTATGAGGGAAATTCTGCCCGGACAGCGGCACTAAGGCCTACTCTTATATCGAATTCTAAACTGCCTAGACAGCTGCACTGACAAGGGAGAACAACGCCGGAAAATCTGGATGAATTTTCTCGTCCAATGTAGGGATCGAACACCCGACCTTAGCGAACCAGCGCCTTACCCACTTAGCTACCGTGATGCCTCATATTTACGTAACTTGTTAAAGCAGATACAATTTGGATCATCTGAACAGTATTTAGTGAAGGTGGGGGGGGGGTATTTAAAAGTCAAAATACGCGTCTTAATACGAAATTCCAGTTATCGTGTAATGCCTCACCGGAAAGCATTTGTCTATCGCTCTTTGAACATACTAGTATTAGCTATTTTACCGGGACATTCATGATTACATAATTTAGAAGAGATAAAGCCTCTTTAGTTTGTCCAAAAAAATTTGTCGCTATAAAACAATAACCTAATTACTAAAAATAGACAACTTTCAATTTATTCTAATTAATGCTAGATTATATTAACCGATATATTTATATATATATATATATATAGAAACATAACACGCTCGTGATTTCACTAACGTCGATTTTTCTTATTGTATGTATGCTTGCTCGATTCTCCTTAACTGTATGGTGACTTATTGTATACCAGTTTGATTTCGGCTCATGTCGTCATAATGTTTTTGATGAAATGTTTTTGGAGAAATGTTTTATAAGATTTGTATTTGAAGATTTGTATTTGGAAATTTCTTCTACGATATTTTTTTTCTTTGTATGTCTATCATGAAATGTAAATGTATATTTTTTTTTTGATTTACTAAAAAATTGTTTATCTTTATATTAAAATACAATTGAATTAAACAAATATACATTTTAAAAATCTGATATGACAAATGTTTGATTTGTGAACAAAAAATGTTGATTTTAAGATACAAATGTTAATTTCAGTGTAAAAATGTCGAAATACGACAACAAATGAAGAAATAAGAATGAGTATGAATTAAGAACACTTAATAAAGAGCGGTTTGGTCTTCCATATCTCCTGGGACAATGAGAATATTTGGGTGTTCATTTCTTCCAAAACATGTACATATCTTGCATGACAATTGTTTGTCCTCAGTTGACTTAAAATTCTTGGGTGGTAATTCAAATGGGTACAAATATACCACACCATTCAATTGATGGCACTATTTTAACCTTCCAATCATATTCTCTTTAACAGATGGACCTGAGAATATAAAATTTGAATCAATATAAAAGTACCATGTATATTTATAGTACAGTATAGGTTACTATAGAGTAGACATATATAGTACAGTCTAGGTTACTATACAGCATAGTTTACTATAGAGTAGACATGTATAGTACAGTGTAGGTTACTATAGAGTAGACATGTATAGTACAGTCTAGGTTACTATAGAGTAGACATGTATAGTACAGTCTAGGTTACTATAGAGTAGACATGTATAGCACAGTGTAGGTTACTATAGAGTAGACATGTATAGAACAGTCTAGGTTACTACAGAGTAGACATGTATAATACAGTCTAGGTAACTATAGAGTAGACATTATAGTACAGTATAGGTTACTATAGAGTAGACATGTATTGTACAGTATAGGTTACTATAGAGTAGACATGTATAGTACAGTCTAGGTTACTATAGAGTAGACATTATAGTACAGTCTAGGTTACTATAGAGTAAATATGTATAGTACAGTCTAGGTTACTATAGAGTAGACATGTATAGTACAGTGTAGGTAACTATAGAGTAGACATATATGGTACAGTATAGGTTACTATATAGTAGACATATATAGTACAGTATAGGTTACTATAGAGTAGACATGTATTGTACAGTATAGGTTACTATAGAGTAGACATGTATAGCACAGTGTAGGTTACTATAGAGTAGACATGTATAGTACAGTCTAGGTTACTATAGAGTAGACTATATAGTAGACATGTATAGTACAGTGTAGGTTACTATAGAGTAGACATGTATAGTACAGTCTAGGTTACTATAGAGTAGACATGTATAATACAGTCTAGGTTACTATAGAGTAGACATGTATAGTACAGTCTAGGTTACTATAGAGTAGACATGTATAATACAGTCTAGGTAACTATAGAGTAGACATTATAGGTTACTATAGAGTAGACATGTATAGTACAGTCTAGGTTACTATGTCTGTTACAATATACATTGGAGCCCCAGTAATCACCTTTACAAACACAATCTTCTATCTAGTAAACACTCTATTTGTACTCATACTTATTCTGGGATGAGTTAAACTTTACTAGTAATCAAATTGGTTTAATAGTAAATGATAAAGAGTTTAAAATGGCCAATTTTAGTTAAGTGAGAAAAAAACGTGTCTCGGGAAATGATACCATACAAATGAAAGATGAAATATATATAACTGTTTGTTCAGAATGATAAGTATGATAAGTAAATTTACATTAATTTCAGATCCACCAACCATCACAAGTCTAACATCCGATGCTACCAACAACATGGTAGGTGAAGATTCTACTGTAACCTTCACCTGTTCTGTTGACGGTCGTCCATCTTCAGTAATATCCTGGTCTAGATCACAACAAGGGGAACAACTCTATTCTGGTAGTCAATATACCATATCTAAAGTTAGTCGTCAACATACAGATAACTATACCTGTACAGCTAGTAATAATATTGGTCAACCTGTATCTAAAACTATTCCACTCCATGTTACATGTAAGTACAGCGCAATATTTTATACTATTAAAAATCGTTTTAATATCTGACATAATAAGAATGTAATTCCTTTTCTTTTCGCCTCTATAGAAGGATTTTAAACCAGTATAGTTTTAAGTTCACGCGTACTATAACCCTAAACAGTTTAACTCGTCGGTCAGAGTTAGAGTTAACTCCACATGAGCAAATATATAATTATCTACATTTGCAAGCCAAATCCAACTTTTGTTTGAAGAGATGTAATAAATAAGAGTTCTTGTGCACATGGCATGGTATAACCACTAAATTTGAATAAAATCCAGCAGCTAACTGTGCATACATGTAGCAAGACTGGTACACATACTCCTTGAGCACTGTTCTGTTGAAAAAAAACCCACTACCCAATCCAAGACGGCTGCTAATTTTTAAGATGGCGACTTTCAGGCAACAAAATGTAATTTTTTGCGATAAAGTTGCGTTCAATTCTCTTATCTTATTGATCCTTATAATTTAAGTTTCACTAACTTGGACATTATTTCTGACATTATTAGTTCCGTCCTTGTGATTTGCGGAGGTTGCCGTTATTGTAGGCATATACAGTGTCTAGTAGTTCGGGTCGGACGAAAACCGTTGCAGCTGTTATTCGTAATAAAAGTAGACCGTAAATTTCACTCATGGCACACCGTAAGTTCGTCTTCATTAAACTAGATGGTGTAGAAAAGTAGGACGATAAACCGCTATCTATGAATTTCGGTATTGCTTTATGCAACTTGAATAAAATATTTTTGGAAAAAAAAACTACCATAAAGTTAGTCAGGTCGGTGTAATGAAGGAATCAGAAATAAAAACTCCATCGCTATCCACATGAACTGATTACCCCAGACTCCCGAAAAGGCCGTTTCATCCCTACAGTATGAGGTTTCTAAATTTATATCTTTGAACCATATCAAGAAAAAGTTTATCATTTTTGTTAGAGTAGTAATAGAATACAGATTAACAGTAAATAAATATTATTGATGGCTTAACTGTCTTCAAGAAAATTGAAAAACAATGCTGTTTGGCTTTTATTTGAAGTAGTATTTACCAACCATTTCACGTTCGATGTTGTTTTCAATTTCACCATCGATTCCCTGGTTGTACTTGTCAAGGAGTAGGGTCGTCTGTCCAACCTCGTGGGTTTTCTCCGGGTCCTCCCACTGCTAAAGACCCCTACGCGCAAGCGAATTGTTGAAATAAATTGAACCATATGTTAGTCCAGAAATGACCTAGTTTGTGCCGAGTGGTCGTACCCCCCCCCCCTTTCTCTCTCTCTCTCAACACTCCGCCCAACCACCAACCAGGCGAAGAGCGAGTCGTTTATATAAACATAATGGTCCCTACCAGGTGCTCAATCACCAAATGAGCACGCAGTGGCGACACCAAACGACTTCATAATGATGGTTGCTAGGCAGAAGTGTAAAAATTCTAAACGTCTAAAGAATCAATGAAGAAGACGTTTTTCGTCTAAATAAAAGAAATAAGATGAAATAGAATTAAAATTTACACTGAACAAATAAAGAAGTTGGATTATACATTGTCTTAATTTAGAAATTACACGAATTGAAGTTAGAAATTACATGAATTAAGGTTAGAAGTTACATGAATTAAGGTTAGAAGTTACATGAACGGAGGTTAGAAATTAGACGATAGCATGTTAGAATTTTGAATCTAATATACCGCCATAATTTATATGCTTTATTCAGATGTCTTTTGCTTTATTTCAGGTGTACCTGTTCTTGATCCTAACCAAGAAACTAAAACTACTATATCTGTAGGACGTGGAGAGACAGGTGTATTATCAATCCATGTTTTAGCTTATCCACTACCTGTATACACCTGGTATTATCAACCACAAGATGGCAGTAAACAACCGATAACAGATTTTAGATCTAGTCAAGAAGATAATGGTCTATCATCAACATTAACTATACAAGATGTTACAGAAGATGATGGTGGCAAATATATAGTTTATGTTAATAATAGTCTTGGTACCAGATCTACTGTATTTAACCTGGCTGTGACGTCACAAGATGAAGGATGCACTTGTTCAAATCATTTTTGTAATGATGTAGTTTCCAGAGACCTTGGTGTTGGTATAGCTATTGGATTGGGTATATGTCTTGTCGTTTTGGGTATTACTGCCGTTTTACTCTGGATCGTCTTGAAGAAAAGTGGAAAGAAAATTTGCTTTAAACAAATCAATGGTAATAATTTTATAAATTCTTACAAATTCATTATTTTTTTTTACTCAATAATATAGTTTTTATTAACCTGTTAAAAAAAATCACAAAGAAGTTTAAGGAGCTATAGCTCTATTCGTAACATAGACGAAACTGATTCTAAAAGTAATTAATGTAATATGAGATAAAGTAATTTGCCCTTTTTTTAAAAACAATATTGTGATTTCTAATTAATTACGTACAGTGAAATACGCAAACAGTCCAAATTGAACGGTGGCCATTTGTGCCTGCTTAGTCATGGTCATTAGAAATGGCGCTCGAAACCATTATGGCCCTAACCTACAGTCCTGATTTAAAAATGGTTCATTGTGTCTTAATATCAGATATTAGGATCACATATTTTTGCGGTAAGATAGTTACATCAATATTGATTGAATTCTAATTTTTGCTTATGGATAACATGTTTGTATTTCTACAGGTGATAAAACAGTAGTTAATGATACAGTCAGTCACAATACAGGGTTAGATAACATCACCCTGCCTGATACTCCACATGTTTATGACCGAGTTAATACTGGTATAACACAGGCCAGTACCACCCTGTCTGATAATACAGGTGTTACACAGACCAGTACCACCCTGTCTGATAATACTGAATATATCAACACATCCACAACATCATCACCATATGAAGAACTGGATAAACAAACTATGGATCAACAACCCAGTATTTACCAACAACTCAGTCCCTATCAAAACCTATCAGGAGATAAAAAACTGAAGTACAAAGACGACGACGTGGGTAGTTATAACTAGTTATGTCCATAAATACATATAAAAACAAAATCAAAACTATCAATATATTTATGATTGTCAATTACCATTGCTGTGATTAGGAGGAAAAATGGCTTGATTATCCATCTTATTATTAAATAGCGGGAGGGTTGTAATCCATTAAATATCCAAGCCATCGGAGTTGGGTATATAAATTATTACATGTTGTTTATTATTGTATTTATATTTGGTAATATAGCTATTAAAACTTCTCTCTCTCGACTTGTTATTATAAACCAGTAATTGTTTTGAATTGGTTCTATTATTGGTAAATATAACAATTTATTATAATCTAGTTCTTCACAATGGACCGTCTACCGTCTCTCCTATAAAACAAAGAAGATTTACTTGGACCTTGAAGAATTTAATTGGCTGGATTAGTTGCCATTAAAGCAAGAGTGAACAACTTTGCTGCTGGTAAACATATTAGGCAGTCTGACATTGAATTTAGAGCTAGAGTGAACGACCTTGCTACTGGTAAGCGTATTAGGGAGTCAGACATGCCCTTGTTCATGTTTAGTTTTATAATCAATTTATGATAGTTGTCTTTACTTAGCAATATTATAATGTTATACTAATTAAAGTTGAAAATATTTTATTTATGTTTGATATGGTCTAATGTTGTATATTCTAAGCTGAGTTTTCATCAACCAATTTGTATGATATAAGCTAATGCTGTTTATTCTAAGCTGAGGTTTCATGTACAAAGTTGTATGATATTTTTAACATGGCTTTAACAAAATATTTAACATGGCTTTAACATGACATTTTGTTTATAAGTATGATACAGGATATAGTTAACGTTTATTAGCAAACGTCTCTAATTTTGAAATGACTTTCTCATTCGTTCCCTGGTTTATTTTTAGAGCTTTTCAACGAGAAATATTTATGAAAATTAAATTAATAAATAAGCATATTTTTGAAACACATTTATTTACCATAGAATATTTTTGAATATATACATACAGGTAGACAACCAACTGTCTTAGTATTTAGACTAGATATAAGAATATCTGGTTTTGCCTAGTTTTGTGTGTATATATACAGGTAGATATCAATTATCTCAGTATTTAGATCAGAGATAGTAAAACCTGGTTTAGCTTGGTTCCTTGTGTATGTATCTATTGATTTATAACAGTAGAGAATTTATTATCATGAACCTTGTTTTGTTGTCTTTATATAAAAATACTTAACCCAGTCGATGCAGAAAAATAGGACATTAATTTCGTATCATTTCTGCTAAAGATCGTTTTCGACAACTGATTTTTTTGACGAGGGATTATATCTTCCAAGGAGTTATGATATCTTTATCAATCCTTAATCAATATCTTTGATGTCCATTTTGTAATGTTATTATTGCTCTGCTTATTAGCCCTTAGATGGATTCATATCTTAATTAATCCCTAATTAATATCTTTGAGTTTATTCTGTAATGTTATTATTGTTCTTTTTTATTAGCCCTTTGATGGTTTCATATTAGTTTTTGTTTTTGTTACCTTGTATATAATTTGATTTCTTGCTATTATACTGTCATTACTTACTTGAGAACGACAAGAGGAACTTGTTGAAACGTAGTTTGAAATAAACCCAGTGATTGTTTTCCATATAAATTTGTATTTTATATTTTACTGTTATTATTATCAGATCTATGTAGGTCTATAGAGGAAAGTATTATATATATTTACTGTTTTATATGTAAAAATATGAAGATCAGGTAGCACGAGTCACATCCATAGAAAGTCCCGAGTAACATGTAAGTATATATTTTTAGATTTCTTGTTTGTACATTACCCTTTATGTTATTGTTAACTTGTCTGTCTGGTATAGACATACTGTTGTATCCGCTACTTAAGTTATTAAATGATAAATAGTTATATTTTTTTGATTGGTATGATATATTTATAACATATAAAAACTTATAATATTTTTTAAAAATATGCTAAAGCTGCAACACTGACCGTGTATATTGCTCACTTTTGTTTTCAATCGATTTTTGTTTTTTATTTCTGATATTTTTGGTTTCACATGACATGTTCAGAGTTAATATTGAATAATTATGATAGTTTATATTTAGATTAGTTTAACATTTAAACTGAATTCTGTTGTTGGAACTAGTGAGTAATACTGATAGGAAGTGGTACATGTCTAGAACATACTGATATTAAATTTACTCATTCCATTTGTAATCTGCTGTTATTGATATTGATAAATAGACTCCACCTGTTAATCTGTGGGGGTCCAGATTCGCTCAGGTAAAAAAATGATCTTATTTCTAAGCTGAAGTGTGTATTATGGCCGTGTGAGGGAGTGGGGCATCCTCGGTTACCCAGTGTACTCATTCCGTTCTACTCCACTATACCCTGGGTTAATCTATGGGGGAGACACGTTTTCAAGTTATTCGCCCTTGATGATTGTGCTATTTTTATCGACCAATCCCATAAGTTGTTATTTGAAAAGGAAGTTGGCAAAGGTAAGTAACTCTCATCGGACAATGTTAGGAGCTGGCCCATTCTAAATGCGTAATTATTAACAATCAATTATATATTATGTTAATGAAGACCAGACGTTCGTATAATAATGTAGGGTCATTAGTGTTATTTAGAATCCTTCGTTCGGTCCCGGAATTTTATATCCACGTGATATCGTTGACAAGTTATCGTAAATCAAATTGCCAAGTATAAGTTCAATAATAATAAACATAACAGGATGACATATTTCAGACAAAGAACGAATAGTAATACTAATAACAACAGTCAAACATATAGATGTTATACATATTTGAAATCAACAACATATACATTATTTACATAAATCATTCCGTAAATGGACATGAATATGGTTATCTACCCGTATAAAAACGAAGGCAAAGCGATTGGTTTGTAAACTACATGTATTTTCTGATTGGTTCGTAGACTGTAGCTACATTCTAGGCCAGGGCAGATAATTTGAAATCGTGGAAATCCTATGGATTAACCCATGGTATAGTGGAGTAGAACGGAATGAGTACACTGGGGATACCGCGGATGGGGGTGGGGTGGATGGTTAACGAGTGCGCGTTGTATCATAAGGTTTGTCATTGAATGGCATGGTTTCGATTGTCACGTACGGTCGATTGTCTACCCGCGTGGATTTTCTCCGGTTCCCCTGGTTTCCACCACTGCTAAAGACTCCTACACGCTGGGTGCAGGCTATTTGACCGGTAACTCGTTTCTATCAACCATATACTTGATATTTTCTATCGATACTCAGCTTACTTAATCAATAATCATATATAATCATTGGTCATACGTTTTGATAATTTTGGGTTTTATTATGTTTTGATGTTTTAGCTTAAAAACTCTCAGCAGTATTTTTATACCGTTTTAATAATTTTGTGTTTTATTATGTTATGATGTTTTAGTTTAATAACTCTCAGCAGTATTATTATATCGTTCATTATATATTTTCATCATATATTTTTGCTATTTTATTATATAATAATTGCTCATTATATATTTTAGCTATTTTATTATATAATAATTGCCCATTATATATTTTTGCTATTTTATTATATAATAATTGCCCATTATATATTTTTGCTATTTTATTATATAATAATCGTGGTTTTTTTAAATTAAATTTTTGCTATTATATTATATAATAATTATTCGTTATATATGTTTGACAATAGATGTCATATTTACAGATTTTATTGGCCTGTTCTTATTGGTCATTCGAAACAGAAGGAACAGCTTGTTCCATTATCGATACTTGTTATGATAAATTCAAATTTAGGCCACCTCTATAACAATTCGGTCATGATCAACAAATTAATGTATTATTAACTGGTCCGGTATTACAGACGAATTTGTAATTTAGATTGTTTAATACAGAGATTCGTTCATTGTAATTAAGATTGTTTAATAAAAGGTTTGATTATTTTAATTAAGATCGTTTAATACATAGTTTGTTTAATACAGAGATTTGTTTATTTTAATTAAGATTGTTTACTTTCTTTCTTTCTTTTTATTTCTTTGAGTCATACGACTCATCAGATAGACACATACAATATAAATACATAAATATTTTACACAATAAGTAAACAAATCAGGTTATGTACAAAATTTTACATATGTATAGTATGGGGAGCAGGCGACTTGAGAAATTTTAATGTGCAACATTCAATAAATTATTCCTTCTTTTATTACAGTAATATAAAAATAATGCAAGATTATTTAATTCTTTAATATTATGAACACTTAGCAGTTGAGTCAGTTTATGAACACTAGGATTTCGAATATAATAATTCTTTATATATTTTTTACGAAGATCGGAGAATACAGGACAAATTACAATATGGTGGTATTCGTCTTCAATATCATTTGATTTACAAAGGTTGCAGACAGGGTTTGTTTATTGTAATTAAGATTGTTTAATACAGTTTTTTTATTGCTTAAATAAAATTATAGTTTGATTGACTGTTGTTGTTAATAGAAAATGTTTTTATTTTAAGAATATCCCCCGGAAGTTACCTGAATTTATTTCATCAGTATTTAATTATGTGCAATTAATGTAAGTAAATGTAAGTTGGCATTAAGTGATTAATAATAGTTCCGCTATTGCGATTTTTACAAGGCGAGTTACCTCCCTCCCCCTCCCGTTTTACTAAAGCTGAATAGTCATCTCCTGTTTTAGGCCTGGCACCGCTGACCATGATGGGGTGTGTTGTCAATCACTACAGCGGAAGTGATAAGCGCATTCTGTTGCAACTTGTGCGGTTTGAATAAACAGTTTCAAACAGAATCGTAAGACTCCTGCGTAATGCCCAACCTACACTAGCCGTTCATTTAACATAGCTAACAGTATAGAATTAGGAAATATAAACAATAACAATGGACATTATAATCTAGTTCTTAAAAGACAATATTGGTGTCAGCCATTATCTTATATATAATAGAACTGGTTAAACACATTGTCTTGATTTTCAACATTTAAGAATTTGACCGAGATATGCGAATAGCTGAGGTCTGTCTGATTACAAAAATATAAGTTCCATTCTAAATTATATCTCACTTAATTTTTCGCTATTTTCCCTATTTTTTTTTAGTTTTTCCCGGTATTTTCAAGTCATTTGTTAGTTTTTGTCGTCATTTTCATTTCATTTTATGGCCCTTCTCCGAATTAAACGGCTTGGATTTTGGAGCGGACTTAGTTAATCCGTTTTCTTTCTTTTGAGTATTGAGATTCTTTATATAACCCATGACATGTGACAGGAATTGGCATGAATATGAAAGCTTTCATATCTGTCTGGACCCGAACAGATCAATTTATTATTATTTTTGTGACCGTGAGGGATCTGTCAGATATTACACGAGTCTGGAATTGTTCTTCAAATCTTTAATACTGGATTATAATAAATTAACTGCACAGACCAACTAGCTAACAAATTAGAGCACCTACAACTGGTTGCACTTAGGTCCATATGTGGTGCTGTAAGGGGGAACAAGCCATAGACTGTTATATAAAGAAACCGGTTTTATTACGCTAAAAGAGAGACGCAGAAGACATAAACTCAAATTCATTTATAAAATTATAAACGGCCTTTCTCCATCTTATCTTCATGAGTTGATCTTGACAAAAAGCGCACATTATAATCTCCGAAACACATGTTTACCTGAATATAAATGTAAAACAAATATTTTCTATAATTCTTTCATACCATCGTCAATTAGAGAATGGAACAAACTAAGTGCGGGCACAAAAAATTCCACATCTCTAAATATTTTCAATTCGAAACTTATGGTTCAAGATTCAACACCACCAAATTTTTTTTCGTTTGGATCCCGCACAAACCAAATTATTCATTGTAAACTGCGTCTCTCTTGCAGCAATCTAAACGGACATAAATTTTTACGTCATATTACTGATAATCCACGCTGCAAATGTGGTCATCACTTCGAAGATACTGAAATATTTTATTGAATTGCTCCTTATATTCAGATGCCCGAAATAATACAATTAATAACTTACCGACTATCCATCAAAACACTACTGTCTTACTGCACGGAATTGGCGACATAGAAACCTCACCCAATATTTTAAAAATTGTCCACTCGTTTTTCGAAATCACCAGACGCTTCAAGGGACAACTATAACGCACCTATTGTAACTACATTTTCACTTGTACATTATTCGCCTATTTCTAAAATGCAAACCCATTCCATAGACAGCTGTAACACAACCACGGTAATCATTTTTTCATGTGTACATTGATTATTTATTTCTAAAATGTAAATACATGTATCTATATCTGACAGGGAGAGGGGTTTAATATAGGCTATGCCTATTCCCCAATCCCTATTCAGATACAAATCTGAATAAAAATATTGCTTAAAAAAAAAAAAAAAAAAATTAGTAGTCAAATCATGATTACCAATATAGAACACTGTAACAAAGTGATCTATAATTTTTATCAAATTGAACTTATTGACCTCCAGCCAAGCTTCTTGATAATACATATATAAAATACTGACCTTTTAACTCTGTATGCACTGTTCTTAAGTCACGATTGTCTGTGTTGTAGTTAAACATGTAATTAATTCAATATGTCCTTTACCAGCTGTTATTTGTCGGGTGTGCTATATTGGTAATCATGATTTGATTTTCGTATTGACTACTAGGCGTGTATTTATGATTTGGTTATCGTGTTGACTATTTGAATGTTATAGATGTTATCTGTAAACAGGCGTGTTCTATGCTGGTACTTATGATGTGACTACCGTATCGACTATTTGGATGTTATCTGTGAACAGGCGCGTTCTATGCTGGTACTTATGTGACTATTTGGATGCTACCTGTGAGTGTGTTCTCCTGGTAATCGATTCGGGATTTGGCTTGCGAGGCCAGTCTCTGCACGTCATAGTTGACGTTTCTCTCGCCTGGGCGACCTTCGGTTATCGTGATTTCTTGATTATGGTCGAACTAACTGAATCCGAATTTCATTTAGTCCGGACCATAGTCCGAAAATACTGAACCACACTATTGTGGCATGGTTGGAGTAATTCCAAGATGGCGGTGTCGATGAAATGAAAGTGTAGAATATGCAGAAGGAATCTATTTTTGTTAAGTATATGATTTTAAGAACCTTTGAATGAATTATAAATGGTTGCTACTTCTATGAGCATATTTTTTTTGTCTCGTATGTTGTGTCTGAATCTATGTAAGTCTAAAAATTACGCATTATTTCAATATTTGCGCTATGCAAAAAGTAAAGTCAAGTTACAAGCAATTTTGTCATCTCTAAAATTAATTTGAGTCGCGCAAATTTAACTTCATGAAAGTATTTGTTTATTAAACTATGTAACACAGCGATTCATTATCCTCATGGAGAGATGTATAAACCTTCCTTGGGATTAAGGGTTTTTTCAGGGTTTTTTCGGGGTTATGCTCGAGGTCTAAAGTAAAATGACATCACCATGTCCCTGGGGGCAGCCATCTTTGAACAGACGATGGTCCGGACCATTCACGTTCGGTTTCTAGTTCCGACCACTAGTCGTGAAAAAATTATAACCGAAGGTCGCCCTGAGAGTAAATCTATCGACATATCTAAAGTTCCGCCGCCTGTAATAAAAACAAAGTATAGTCAGTAAGTCTAAAGCTATAAATAAAATTTAAAAATGAAACACCCTTGATAGATGGTTCCAAGGAGCATCATGCTATCATGCTCCTCCAACCAACGTCCTTGGCAGACACTATTAAGGTTTCACCACATAGGTCATTTGATGCAAGTAGAGGAAATGAAATGAAATGTTGTTTTATGGTACATCAGCACCAAGCGGGATATATTGCGCCAGACACATGATGAATTCTTTGAGAATGTAATCACAAGATAAATGTAAAACATATAAAAATATAAAAACAAAATATCACAGTAAATAATTAAATCATATCAAAAAACATTATAAAAATAGATCACAGTAAATTAATATATAACCAGAAAACAATAAATATGGTTAAAATGTAATTATTTACAATTAAAATTTATGATAAAAGTCTAGCAGTTTTCCATATAAACCCGGTTGGGCAAACTGATTGTGCAAAGACTGGTAACGGTAGTATATTTTTCTTATTTCTTTGAGATACTCGCACTCGATCAAAATGCGCTTATTGACAGTGTTCACATTCTGGTTGAGGCTCTCGCTTCAAAATGAAAATGTGAATTTAAAAGGTTTGACCAATGCCAGAGCGACACAAAACAACTTCATCCCTCCTGCGGTTTATATAGGAGCTTGGCCAGTCTCCTAAGAGAGGCTTAATGTGATAAAGTTTGTTTGTCATATATAAAATAGTTAATGGACGATTTAAAATCGGTGAAAGGTAAAACAAATTGTGGTATGGAAAGATCTGCTTGATCATTCCCTTTAATATCAATATGATTGGGTAGTCAGCAAAGGACAATGTTCGGGATCAGGATGTACACCCTACTGACAAAAGTGCATACACAAATTCTTACATTTTGAAAATCGAAATCCACTGTCAGTTGCCCATAGCCATAGTCGATTGTCTGTATATGTCTGCAAGTCATCAACATAAATATAGCCATCGACCCCACGTTTAAGACACACCGGTATGGTATTAATTTCATCACCTTGATGAAACAAATTACAGGGGTTGATGTTTGGTAAGTTCTCATTTTTCACCCGCATTAAAACCTCAAAAACAAATTTCTTAAAGCACTCGACATATTGAGTCTTATGACATACTGACTGGGGAGCAAACCAAAAGGTCGTGCTTCGATTATATCTAGCTTTAAATCAAAAATCGATTTATGAGCTCAAAGAGCTTGACGCCATACACAACCAAGGACTTAGAATAAAATCATGTCTAAATGTCTTTGTATTCCTGTATTCAGGTAGTCATTTATTATGATATCATATTAATTATATAGAGACTAATACACTATCACAATTACGGTATAATTTTATACGCCCATATTTTCATGTTGGGTATTATCTCGCCGCCATTGTCCGCCCGGTTACATTTTGTTTGTGTACTCTGTATCGGTTTATATCCCAAAGATCTCGATTTCTTTCGATATTAAAATATTTCGATGATTGTACGAAAAATCCCGTTTTTAGCTTGTGGTCTAGGGTCAAAGTCTTTTTTTTATCCCATTTTTATGAAACGTAAACGTATCTTTATAATCCTACTGTCACGGCCCCTGTCAATATTCGTTCATATCGGACCGTAATTTCCTGGATTATGACCCTTGATTGTTCGACAATTGGTATATGTAGCTTGCAATCCCTCTATGGGTCACAATTTATATCCCATTTAAAAAACCTTTTACATATATTACCGTTGCACCCTAATGACGATTGAGTTTGAATTTCAAGACAGTTGGTCTGATACTTCCCGACAAAATGCTGGATCCTCGTACGCAAATAGTGCAAAAGTATCTAATGTCAAGGTTGTTGACCCTCTCGAGGTCAATATTTTGACGGAACTTGAACTTTGCGTTTATATCTCGAAGGCCTTGGATGATTTCGATATTCTCGCATATCGGACAGTATCTTTCTGGCTAATGCTAGATTACCACTGTTGTGCAATGCTTTATGATACATGCAGATACGTTCGGATATGTTTCGATACGATCAACACGATTGCTGCGACTGACCTCAATATATAAGACCTGATAGGACCACCACGATTACTCCGCGATTAAAACCACGATTTCAGTCGTAGGACAAATCGTGATAGTGGAAACCTAGCATTATGGTCGCTGATTGTACGAAAAATAACTTGATTATATCTCAATACACATGATTTTTAATATATTCTCATCTAACTCAATTAATTTAATTTCTCGGGTAAATTTATTATTTTATTGTAATGTTCCTAATTTTGTTAGGTTAATATTGGTTAACTGTATATGTGCCCTTTTAGATAGTAGCAACTGTATCGGGTATGGGGATGTTTATTCCATATTTGGGAAATAAAGTAACAACAAGGTCATTCTATGACGTATAAGAATTGGGGCGTTATGAAAGAGCGTGTTGAACGAAATTATCAGAGCTCACCCAGATTTCCCGACCATCCATCATCTATACTTTATTAAGGAGGAACATCGAAGCCAAACAGTTTTAATAATATATTAAGACATAGACATATTCTCTAATTGTTTTATGGTGGTATCACATTGTGCACATGGTTTTATCATAATACACTTTAATTAATAATATTTAATTTCTGTATTGAGATATGTCCCAATCTAATTCTTGTATTCTAGTGATGGTTGTCGTATCAGATGAATATTGTTATCGACACCCTGGATCACCATGTTCTAATTATACTCTAACTTGTCCTAGAGGTCAGCGTATTCTTATGGAATATGGTATTTATGTCTATACCAAAGCCAGACATGAAGGTTGTCGGCAACTACAAGAACAGAATGGTTGTGATAGTCACTGCTGTACCAGGGGTACTATTGACGATATTAGAGATACTTTAAGTCTAAACGATACTTTAGCTGTTTATCAAGCCTGTTCTTATCAACAATCCTGTCACTTTACCTTTCCTTATATTGCTGGCACTAGTTATGATTACGGACAAGTTAACCATGGGTGTATACCTGGTAAGTATTCTAATGATAACAGCTGTACATAAACAAGGAAATATATATTTTGTAAATAAAACGAGTTTCAATAAGACCAATAGATTGATATATAGACGTTAAACACCAGGATACTACTACATATTGATATATCTACATGTCGGGTGATGGTGATAGTAAAGGTTATATGAAATAGGGTTTGTCGTCCTATTTTCTGTATAGACGATGCATTAAAGTAGAATATATTGAAACTTACTCAACGAGTTTATAGTGAGTCTAACGACCCCCCCCCCCTATCAATATAGACGATGCATTAAAGTAGAATATATTGAAACTTACTCAACGAGTTTATAGTGAGTCTAACGACCCCCCCCCCCCATCAATATAGACGATGCATTAAAGTAGAATATATTGAAACTTACTCAACGAGTTTATAGTGAGTCTAACGACCCCCCCCCCCATCAATATAGATGATACATTAATGTAGAACATAATGGAACATACTCAACAAGTCTACAGTGAGACTAACGACCCCCCCCCCCCCATCAATCCTAAACTATATAGATGATACATTAATTAATTGAACATTCATCTTGTTTGTAAAGAATGGGACAATCACTCTCAACCAAGCAGAAATGCTCCTGATTGAATTTAGGCAATCTGAATCAAAGTTACCGTGCTACCAAGTCTCTGACAGTGTCCTGGGGCTGGGGTCGGTGTCTCAGAACCTTGTCAAGGTGTTGATCTGACGATACTATACCCTCACTTAATTAGAATTAAAGTTATCGTGTCTCCAAGCATCGACCAATCAAATTGCTTATCTATATGTTTAACCTAATTAGAAAATGTCCATCATCGAGCACCATCCAGTCATTCACCTGATAAGCACATACCCACGTTTGAGCATTAATAATAAACTTTATTCGTGCACTAAGTATGAAAATAAATACATGTAAATAGATACAAGTTCCCAATTAATACATAGTTGATTAATTATTTCATTTTAAGTTACATGAAATTTTGTCCAAAGGACCCACCGTAGCCATTTTCATAAGATCAAAATGTCCCCATCCAGCAGTTAATGATAACTCTGGCCGTGTCTGGGCTTCAGTTGATGGCGTCGTTGTCTTTAAATTCTACTTTGCCCCTGAAGTTTGGTAATGATGTGAAGGTACAGTGGAAATCAAATCGTTGTAGTTGCTGATGTTTTGGTAGCCGATCTTATGGTCTTGTCGACAAAGAAGTAAAGATCTGGTTGGTGAAGAGCTTGGTTGTTGGGACAACTCCTCTGGCTAACTCGAGTAGGTCTAGCATCTGCTCTTGTATCTTTGGTCCAGCTTTCTCCCTGTTGTTGAACCCGGCGTGCATAACCATTTCCTCGGGTGCAGGTCCCATGTATTTCTGTTCTGTAGAATCTGTTTGATGTGGCAGATTTTGGATCCAGAATAACTATGTGGATCACCCGGTCTCCGGCAAGATATACTATCCTGGCCAGGTTAGAGGATTCAATAACCAGGGTCTTGGCGATGACCGGTGGATGTTACCATAAACCCTTCCCGTCTTTACCATTGTAGCTGTGTGGTCTCTTCGTGGAAAGTCTGAGTGATTGTCTGCAGCTGGTGGACGGCTTGGTAGTGGTATTAGGGATAGAAATGATGGGCGATCTAGGGGACAGACAGTCGACGAGAGCGTTCAGTGGAGATATGGATCCTGGAGACGAAGGTGAGCTAGGTAAAACATGAGGCGAACTGGCAAACCTAACTGCACGCTTCGAGGGAGTGTTAATGCATGCGCTTTCTCCGTGTGATAATGTTCTCTTGTTAGGTGTGTAAGACGCTGGATCGCTAGCCTGGAGGTCGGGTGTTCGATCACAGCATTGGCCAAGAAAGTTCATCCAGATTTTCCGGTGTGGTTCCCCCTAGTCAGCGATGCAGGACGGAGGGCCTAATAAAGACAGCTGTCTAGTCGATCGGATGGGACGAAAAACCGATAAAGACAGCTGTCTAGTCGATCGGATGGGACGAAAAACCGAGGTCCCGTGTACACATTGGCGTGCACGTAAAACCGTGTACACACTGGCGTGCACGTAAACCCGAGGTCCCTCAAAGCACACTGTATGGCGTATGCCCGTTTTCATTAGCCCAGTTCGGAGCATAATAGTAGGACGTTAAACTCCATTTCATTTCATTTCGTTCTGGAGAGGGCTGTGTGTAGGTGAGGGAGCGGGGATGACAACTTTAGTGACAGTGGACAGGAGGCAGCGAAACTCTGTCTTCACACTATCATGAAGTCGCTTGCCATAGGACTTCTTGGCTCATGCTAGGGCGTGGTTAGAGTAAAGTGACGTGATCATGAGTTCAAGTACTCTAGTTTCTCTCTATCATGTATTACTAAATTCCACTGAAACAATTTAACATCTTTCCTCGTTGGTAACTTTGCAATACATTTTACAAAACCCTCTTGTCAGTTCTTGTCGGTGTTGATATGGGTGTTGGGTATGTTATACGTTAATAATTAAAATTCTACGTTCTCCTTGATATTAGTGTCTAATATCACACGTTAATAATTACAATTCATCCTATTAATTTGATATCAGACATTGATATCTGTTATATTAATCTGTAATAAATTACAGTTTTTGTCAGTGACAATGTGTGCTATCAAATTTTATGTTCACATCTTCCACTTGTAGATAGACATTGATGTAATGGTACTGTTAAAACCTACCAATACAAGAACAGTACAGATATAAAAGAATAGAGATGACTATGACGGTCAAACATTTTTTTGTGAATACCCTGCAGTGTATACAGCAAACTTCCAAAATAACAGCCGGACTAATGATTTCCCACGACAACAAGCGGAAGTAACGCCAGTTTTAAAACTTCAGATAATAGCAAAATTATTTTTTCTTTAGTCTTTCAAAACCAAAATCAAATTATAGACTAGAACTACGATGCAGTGATGACGGGTTTCGCCGGTGCCATGGTACCCTTGAAGTGACGTGACATCAAGTATCAATGAAACCGTTCGAAAGATTTCCAAATGGACATGTTATCAATGGACGTCACATAACCATTGATAAAACAATTAAATGATATACAATGACAAGAAATTTATAACCGTGCAATACACTTTTATTAAGATGAGTTCATTAGTGCTACAGGTTTATGAACAAATATTTAAAGTCATTCAATACACTTTTATTTAGATTAGTTCCTTAGTTCTACAGGTTTATGAAAGATATGAAAAAACATTAAATAACATGAAGAAGCTGAATAGATTGTAAATTTATCATCAAATCGAAATGGCAGAAAAAACGAAACCGAAATTAAAAGAACTTAGCTCCACATTGTATCCGCCTTCAGTAGGTTCATCCTTCATATTCATAATAAACGACGGAGAACGGAGAACATGTTCATGTTGTAGAGTTGTAAAACTCATTAAAATTACATTCTTAACATCTAGATAGCGGAGCACCTATTCCTGTTGTTAAAATAACATCTTGATAGCGGAGTACCCGTTCCTTTTGTAAAAGTTACATCCAGATGACGGAGTGCATGCTGTACACGCAATCATTGATATCACCTATGGTAAGTAAATTGTATTGCATAAAAATACCCACGTGGAGCGGCATACAATTACAAAAATTACATAATACAGTACAACAAATATACATGTAACAAATAAACGAACATATATATAAAGCTAGTTCCAAGTAGAAATCGATTAAATAGCAAGGGGGTAATAAACCTGTGCTTCCTTTAGGACTCTTTCGTTTCGGAGTCAGTAATGTTAACTTTGTAAACAAAGCAGATGGAAAGTGATCACAGCTTCTGGTTTTCGTAGATGTTAAGTTGTTGAGAAGTGTGTTGGTGCTTGTCTTTGTTTGGTACATCCAGTCCTTCATATGGTGTTGTTGGTGTACTGAGTTGTTGATAAGTGTCTGGATGTTCTTCCTTACTTCGTATATCAAGTCTGTCATATGTCGATGACAATGATGGTGAATTGACGTATTATGGGTTGGTAATATCGCTGTGGTCCAAGTTCGTTGTATTATAGTAGGCTGGTGTGGTATCGGCACGTGCTGTTGTATGATTAGATCTAGTTGTAGAGGAATTAATTTCATCATAAACAGGTTGATTAGTTGAAAGGGAGGTAACTCCAAGTCCATCGTATGTATTATCATTATCTCTTGATGCTGTAACATAATATTTATCCATTATAATATTTGTATCAACGCAGTATTGACTTAGTTTTATTTAAGTTCCAGCATAATTATTTTAAATATTCTCCATCAAAAACAGGAACGCTGTTTTTATAATCTACTGTAACTTAAGACATGCGTGAATGCACGAATAATTGTTAGAAGGAAGGGACTTACAGAACGTAAAGAACGACGACCAAAACACAATCAGGATTTAGAGTTGTCTTACACTTTCTATGGTATATTGCCACACCAATGGCAACCACTATTGGTGTATATTACCACAACAATAACAGTTATAATACGATCAATACACCAATAATACTTGTATAACTTACCCTTTCTATGGTATATAACTACACCAATAACAGTTGTAATACCATCAATACACCAATAATACTTGTATAACTTACCCTTTCTACGGTATATAACTACACCAATAACAAGCACGATACCAATAACCATCAATACACCAATAATACTACCAACTATAGTAGGTATGTTATTACTTTCCAACTGGCCAGGTGGCTTTGGTGGTTCTAAATAAAACAAAACGTACATGATCGTATTAACCACAATGAAAGGGTTGTGTTAAAAAGAATATTACATATCTGTGCTAACAATGGATATGTTAATTTCGTCTAATGAAATTTAAAACTGAAGACGTTTTATCAGAAAAGTTAGAACACGACACCTCTATAATCCAGTTCTGATGTTAAGTTACCAGTGATATATTAGAATTGTCTTTACCTCCTTCAATAACTGTAATAGTGAAGTTCTGAACACCAATACCATTGACTACAGATACTATATAATCACCAAATAGAGTAGAGTTTAGAGTTATCTCTACTGTTGATTTATAGTTTATAGTTGATAGTTGTTGTGTTCTAGCTGTATTTATTATCTGTCTGGTAGGTGTATGGTACCAGGTGAAGGTTGGTTCAGGGTAGGCGATTATATCAACTTCTAGATTTATTGTTGCATCTATTCTATTGACGATCTTTCTCTTGGTTTCTATGTTTTCTCGAGGAGAACCTGTAATATAGACATACGATTATATCAACTTCTAGCTTTACTGTTGTGTCTATTTTTTTAGTGATGTTTCTCATGGTTTCTATGTTTTCTCGAGGCGAACCTAGAATACAGACATACAAAGGGGTATTGGCTATACAGCTCTAGAGGGACAGCTAAGCGTAAAACAACTTTGAAATCTGGATACAGCACTAGAATTGGTGTGGGGTTCTGTTTGGGGACGTTTATTAAGAAAATCCTGTCAGCCACTTAAATTTTCAAAATGGCCATCATTTTCAAAGATTGCTGGGTTTTTTTTTAACTTTTCTTTCTCTTATTTTTTTACCCACTGGAACAAGTGAGAGGATATTTATACGCCCACATATTCCTGTAGACGTAATATGTTGTCTCCCATGCCCGTAAATCTGGACGTCTGAATCTCTGGAAGGCCGTTCAAACTTGTTTCGGGTGGACATTCGGTATATGGCCACCTACAAGTTAGATGAAATTGTGAATTTTACTCGATTCAGATATATGTCAAAGATCCGGAAATCTTGGAGGAATTCGATTTTGGTATGCATCAGACTACAACCTCTCCGGTTTTGGCCCTTGCCTTTTACGCAAAATGTAAACGACCAGCTAGAGACATCAATTATTGTCCAATTTAGATGAAACATAAGTTATAAGGATAAATAAAATAAGAGAATTTAATGTGACTTTATCACAAAAAAATTACATTACGTTGCCTGAATGTCGACCATCTTGAAAATTGGCAGCTATCTTGGATTGAGTACTTGGCTTTTTCAAAAGAGTAGTCCTCAAGAAATATTTGTGCTAATTTTGATACTTATTACATCTTTCGTACAAAATTTGAACACAACTATATACTACTTTAAACGAAAAAGGCGAAAACAAAAAGAAATTCCATTATTGTTCCATTACATGTTTTTTTTATTTTTTTAATGATATAAACTAGTGTGTTGTACTTACATCTAACATAGAGTGGAATAGTGTTAGATACAGGTTGACCAATCTTATTACTAGCTGTACAGGTATAGTTATCTGTATGTTGACAACTAGCTTTAGTTATGGTATATTGACTACCAGAATAGAGTTGATCCACTTGTGATCTGGACCAGGATATTACTGAAGATGGCAGACTGTCAACAGAACAGGTGAAGGTTACGGTAGAATCTTCATCAATCATGTTGTTGGTAGCATCTGATGTTAGACTTGTGATGGTTGGTGGATCTGTTTTTTATAAACAATCATTTGGTTTCGGTTATTGTGCATGGGAATTGAGATGGTCTCAACCAAATTTTGAGCATGCCAAAAGACCGAGGTCTTTTTCAGTGTGATTTAGACAAGTTTTGTGTACAGACATTCCAAGCCCTAATATGCAAATTAGGAAATATTATTTCATGATGGATTAGGGTGGAAGGTAGGAACACTATAAAGATGTATTGTCTGGATCACAATTTATTCTATCGATATGCACGTCTTGTGATTTTGTGGCTTACTACAATATAATTTCTGGCGAACTATTGACACGGTTTTCCCCAAAAAGTTCCCCAAAATTATTATTAATATCAAATGATTTTTAAAAGTTTATAAAGATGGAAAAATAAAATGCAAAAATAATGCAATCGTTTACAAAACAGATTGTTTTAGAAATTTGTTGATGCGATCATTGTTTAGATTCGGATAAATCAAGCAATGGTAGGGGACGATTTAGTGAGGGAAACGGGGGTTCAGAATTGTCATGTAATGTCAGTGAAATCAACTTACAATAAACAGGAAGAGTTACAGGTGGACTGGTGCCAGTGTTAAAGGTATCTCCACAGGTCCAGGTTCCAGCATCAGTTGATGTAACATTAGTTATATTAAGATACAGTTGTCTTATGTTACCATTGATACAATCACATGTATATCTACCTGATGGTACACTAACATTACAAGTTAATGCATGTCTACAGACTGTTATACTGTCTCTTGTAAACTGGATAGCATCAGTGGGTCTCAAATTACCTCCAGATATCTGACATATAAATCTATAATCATTTCCTTTAATAACATGTGATGCTGGTCCTGATAAACTGTATGTTTGACCTGTAACAGAAGTAAGAGACATGTAAATCTGTAAACCCCTCCTCTAATACCATATGATGCTGATCCTGATAAACTGTATGTTTGACCTGTAACAGAAGTAAGAGACATGTAAATCTGTAATCCCCTCCTCTAATACCAAATGATGCTGATCCTGATAAACTGTATGTTTGACCTGTAACAGAAGTAAGAGACATGTAAATCTATAATCATCACCTCTAATACCACACCATTTACAAGACACTGACGTAATTATTACAATGTGATGTTTATACAGGTCACCACACAATTACAAGACACTGAAACTCATGCCTAACCTCGTGGGTTTTCTCCGGGTCCTCCCTACGCGCAAGCGAATTATTGAAATAAAATAGAATCACATGTTAGTCCAGAAATGACCCAGTTTGTGTCAAGTGTACGTTAAACCTCATCTCTCTCTATCTCTCCCTCTCTCTCTCTCTCTCCCTCTCTCTCTCTCCCTCTCTCTCTCTCTCTATCTCTCTCTCTCTCTCTCTCTCTCCCTCTCTCTCCCTATATATCTCTCTCTCTCCCTCTCTCTCTCTCTCTCTCTCTCTCTCTCTCCCTCTCTCTCTCTCTCTCCCTCTCTCTCTATCTCTATCTCTCTCTATCTATATCTCTCTCTCTCTCTCATCCCTCTCTCTCTCTCCCTCTCTCTCTCTCTCTCCCTCTCTCTCTATCTCTATCTCTCTCTATCTATATCTCTCTCTCTCTCTCTCTCATCCCTCTCTCTCTCTCTCTCTCTCTCTCTATCCCTCTCTCTCTCTCCCTCTCTCTCTCTCTCTCTCTCTCTCTCTCTCTCTCCCTCTCTCTCTTCCTCTCCCTCTCTCTCTTCCTCTCTCTCTCTATCTCTCTCTCTCTCTATCTCTCTCTATCTATCTATCCCTCTCTCTCTCTCTCTATCTCTCTCTCTATATCTATCTATCCCTCTCTCTCTCTCTCTATCTCTCTCTCTATATATCTATCCCTCTCTCTCTCTATCTCTCTCTATCTATCTCTCTCTCTCTCCCTCTCTCTCTCTCTCTATCTCTCTCCCTCTCTCTCTATCTCTCTATCTCTCTCTCTCTCTCATCCCTCTCTCTCTCTCTCTATCCCTCTCTCTCTCTCCCTCTCTCTATCTCTCTCTCTCATCCCTCTCTCTCTCTCTCTCCCTCTCTCTCTTCCTCTCTCTCTCTCTCTATCTCTCTCTATCTCTCTCTCTATCTCTCTCTCTATCTATCTATCCCTCTCTCTCCCTCTCTCTCTCTATCTATCCCTCTCTCTCTCTATCTCTCTCTCTCTATATATCTCTCTCTCCCTCTCTCTATCTCTCTCTCTATCTCTCTCTCTATATCTATCTATCCCTCTCTCTCTCTCTCTATCTCTCTCTATCTCTCTCTCTCTCTATCTCTCTCTCTATATATATCTCTCTCTCTATCTCTCTCTATCTATCTCTCTCTCTCTCTCTCTCTCTCTCTCTCTCTCTCTCTCTATTGCCGTTCTTTGTTTTCACTTCAAATGCTACACTAACTTATATTATTCATCCTCTTAAATCACAGCCATCAGAGGCTCTAGAGTTGATTATTGCCTGAATCAATGTTTAAATGATAGTTTATATAACTTTTGATAGAGTGGTTCCTGCAAATAACAAAAATCAAATAAACGAGCTATATTTGGGGCTTATTTTAACAAATATGATAAGACTTACCATTAAAATCATCATTCATTAACAATTAAACTATTGCTAAGTTGGATATTTGTGTGATTTGGCCATTTGAATGTGACTTTCTAATTATATGGAAAAGTTGATCGCCCAAGTAGCGTTACAGCGGTAGATATTTTCATTAAAAAGAGTTATGTTTCTTGGTCACATCAAAGTTTCAAATTTTGTTCTGGAAAACGAATTCTTAATTTCCGCAGTCGGCTTTCTTCGTTTTTTTACGTACGTACAATTAACGTTTGAATTTAACATTTGTACGCGTGCACAGCCCTTAGTTAGAGAGAGAGAGAGAGAGAGAGAGAGATGTCTGTATTTTGAGCTGATTTTTTTAACGTTTACATGCAATAGACTATAGTTGAAACTTTCTAATAAGGGGTGAATTTCGTGGTTTACAAACGCAGTATGTAGAGAGTGCTTACCGTACCTTTATTGTAGATGTTAAATATCCTTTATGATAATCCTATTTTGTTTCAAATAATTATCACAAATATAAAAATCATACACATCAAAAACAGAGGAGCACACGACATGCGCAAAGAAAATAAAACCTTAAGCATTTTCAAATCGGTTCGGCAGCAGTGGTCCAAATGTCTAGCATTGCATCCGGAATTCCGTATAAGAATCTACTTAGAAGTCAAAAATGCGACTCCTACACATTGTGCTCTAAACCGTGTTATAAATTATAGAATAAACCGTACATCAATTGAACCCATTTCAAGGTGGAACTGCATGCTTTTTGATATGATTGGGCTTTTTTGTGGCGCCAGATAATCCAAAAATAGAAGTCGATACGTGACAATGCGTCTCGAAAAATTCTTTGATCTGTTATATGACTGGAAAATTCTGTTATTAAAAACAACCGGCATGACAATGACTACATAATAAATTGGGAGTTCTGCAATAGGGATCTTTTAGTGAAATGTTAGAGAAATTTAAGTTTAAATATATCCTTTGTGTTTGAATTACCACTTATGGTTGGTTGTGTCGTATTATGTATCAATCTGGAAATTTCTGTTTTATAGCTATTGTTCTCGAAAGTAAGACGCACAATTTACGCATCGTGTCGCGTTTTAATATTTTTAATAATTATCAAAGGCGTACGAGCCAGGGGGGTGGGGCGGGGGGGGGGGCAGCTGCCCCCCTAACTGTCGGGCAAGCTGAATTTTCGGGCAGATGGGTAAAGTGAAAATTTGGCAAAATAAAGGCGTCCGTCAAGTATTCCAAGAAAACGGGCGCCGCTGTCTGTAAAAGGAAATTTTCGGGCATTTCTAGTTTTGATTCCCTAACTGTCATCGATCCCTACTAAAACACTAATTTTACTTTTCTTTTAATTGAATACAACGAATTTGTACTGAGTTGACTATGGATTAAAACATTTTGTCTAGAGCCATTCTTTGTGCGACATTTTTCTGGCATCGATTATTATTTGTGAATGCAACTGCAACAGTCTGATTGGATGGTTGGAATTCAGAATGGGATTTTGGTTACAAAACCATTGGATACTTTTGGAGCTGCTTTCACGGGCTAGAATAGCAGAAAACGCATTTGCGGTGGTTAAATTTTCAAAATTTTCTCTGGGAGGGTGAGGCCCCCATACCCCGCGACGATTGATTGGTTGTTTGGAATTCGGGTCAGCCAGGTAGGCTATATTGGACCGAATTGAAGTTGCTGTATTCACAGGCTGGAATAACAGGAAAACGCGTTTGCGGCAGTTTTTTCCCAACGGTTGATCTTTTGATTGGAATTCGAGTCAGCCATTGTCATTAGGCTATATTAGACCACATTGAAGTTGCTTGTTCACGGGCTGAAATAGCAGGAAAACGTCAAATATTCCAAAATTTTCTTGGGGAGGGGGGGGGGGGCAAACAAGGTAAGCTCCGCTTCTTCGCCTCTCGAGGAAGACCGACACCGAAATTTTTTCGGGCATTTCGGGTTCTGCCCCCCTAACTGTCATCGAGCCCGTACGCCTATGATAATTATGAAACAGTCAATGCGCGTCTTTTTGGTTATATTTCAGTTCTAGAAAAATGAGTTGTTACTGGATTTATAATTACTGAAACGTTTTGTAACCACCGTGTTAGAAATGGCAAATGCATAAGGATACTAAACACGAATGGCATAGCAATAATGGCACATCCTCCTATTAAATTTGACACAAAACCGGAGGCCAAATTCGCAGCGCCCTAAAATGATTAGAATCCGAGTCTTGTGACCAGTACCGTAAATTTAACTTAATCATACACGTCTGGTTAATCGAGACTAGGGAAAATAATTTCGTTCAATTAATTTCCAGTCTTAAATTTGTTCTGCGTATTTAGAGCTAGCAACAATGTAACTTTTAAAGTAACTAAAGCGCCCACTAACAACAGAGTTTTACGGTTAAATAAAAGTAACTTTCACAGTCTTGCAGTGTCGGTATGTTGCCACGAGAGTGGGTTTAAAAGATAGAAAAAGGGCGAAACTACATGAGTTGACTCTGAACCGAGAACCGTTACAATATATACGTCATTGGTTACAATCAACTAAAATGCAATGAAATGGGGTTTAACGTCCTACTCCTCTGTCCCAACTATGCTAATAAAGACCGGCATGCATCATACACTGTGTTATGAGGGAAATGTGGCCCGGCCTACTGTTATATATAATTATAGGGATCTTTTACGTGCACACTAATGTATTAACTAAAATTGCGAGATTCAATTGGAGTTTAATATCTAGCTACTTGTGGAGATTCTATCAC